GACAGTGCAGCCCCACGCCAGCCCCCCCTGCTCAGGAACCCCACGGAGGAGCAGAGGGGTTATAGGCACCCCCAGGGGGGCCACCCTCACCCCCCCGGGAGCAGCCCTCACCTTCAGCCCACCCCAGCTTCAGAGTGAAATAGCTGTGGGGGGCAGGGTGGTACCCCAGGGAGAGGGAGCTGGGGCAGGGACCCGAACGCCCCCAGGTACCACCAGCCCCCAAACCTGCCCTGACCCACAAGCTGGACCTCACCCCGCTTGGGTGGTCCCAGGTTTGGGTGCTCCTGGGGGTCCCTGGCAGTCTCATGGAGTGGGGAGGTGGGGGGAAAAACAGCCCCATGTCACCCCCTGCCCAGAGGGCTGCGATGGAAGAGGGGGCAGGGGATGAGGGTCAACGTCTGCCTTGAAACCTGCAGAGCAGCACCCAGAGACCCCTCACAGGCTCACCCCAGCCTCGGCTGCCTCCTGGGGTGACACTGGGGGTCTGGGGGGGGGCAGCTGCCTCCTATGGACACCCCACCCCCCCTCCATCACCAGCCCCCCTGCTGCCCCTCCTACTCTATCCAGCCCCAGCTGGGGTGGCAGCAGTCGTGGCTGGAGGCAGAAGGCAGCTCGTGGGGTGGTTTTCTACAACGTGGGCCGAAACGGGAGCAGCCCCCAGAGCCTTTGCCAGGAGCAGATCCCGTGGGTCTCAGTAACCAGCTTGGAGACTGGAATGGGGCTCCAGGGATGCATTTCCCAACACCCCCACCCCCCCCAACACACAACACCATGGCTCCCCCAGGGCTCTCCCACCACATCCACGCTATGGCTGGCACAGAACAGAGACGGGCACTGGATGAACGTTGTTTTATCTACTGTGGCCAAAAATAATAATTAAAAAAACCAAAATAAAGGTCCAAACATGTAAAAATGAGTGGGGAGGGTGTCAGAAGCCACCGGGTCCCACGCAGAGAGTCACATCCGCTGCAGCCCGACTCCGGCACCACCTGGTTCCAGCCTACCCTTCCCAGTGACCCGGCACACACTGGGGCCTCCCCACACCGGCGTTCCCTTTGTGGTCATCCCTGTGCAAGGCAGCGTCCGGCAAAACGCAGCCCCTCCCCACACACACCCACCCAGCAGGAGGAGAAAGCCTCCGAGCAGCGCCAGCAGCTATCGCAGCAGGGTTGAAGCGCCGGCAACAGGCATCTTGGCAATTAGTAGGAAACCGGGTGTCTGTACAAGTTCTGTCGCGGCGCCGTGGGGAGGGAGGGGAGGAGAAATAAAGACCAAAAAAAGGGGGGAGGGGTAGGAAAAAACAAAACAAAACAAAAAACAACCCAAAACCGGTGAAGCTGTGGTGCCGCGGGGCGGGCTCAGGGGATGCCAAACTGTACAACCAGTTCTTCTTTGGCATCGACGCGGATCTGTGAGAGCGCGCTGAAGGCGTAGGCAGCTATCCGGGACACCTGCGGGCACAAGCACAGCAACTGGCATCAGCGGCGGCTCTGGCAAACGCAGTTATCCCAAAGAAAATGCCACAGGGAGCAGCGGGGCTGGCAGCCCCAGCACAAGCCTGGCTGTAGGATGGGGAACAACACTTGTACCCCCCCCAAAGAAGGTCCCTGTCCCCGAGGAAGTACTGGGGCAGGGCTGTGTCCTGGGGAGATGCCGCAGCAGCAGAGCGGGGCAGGAGGCCCCTGGACAGCGCAGGTCTCTTTGGGTCAAAAAAACCCCCAACCTTCAAGACCCTAAAAATGGGCTTTTGTTCTCAGAGCAGAGGCTGCACCACCAGGGCCAGCCCCATCACTGCGTCGGCCCAGGCCTTGGGAGAAACCACGACACCTTGGCCACCCTGCAGCCGGTGGGAAAGCCAGGCTATCCGGGCAGCTCCCGGCATGGCAGCAGTGCCGGAGCTGCTCACTGCAGGCAGGTACAGGCAGGTGACCTCACCACGGCGGGCAAACCTGCCCTCCAAGCAGAGCCCGTGGCCGTTCCTGAGATCCAGCCCAGCAGAGAGGGCAAGGCAGAACCCGGCTGGCAAAAGCCTGCCCGCCGGCGGCTCCTCCCTGCCTGCACAAGCTCAGGCCTGGCTGTGCCCCCGCCAGCAGGGGATGAACCTCCACGGTCCCCAGAGGGGAGCAATGCAGTGGGCTGGGCAGAGCCGCTCTGCTTGCCGGGACGTGCCCGGATACCGGCCCGTCTCCATTTGGGAAGAGGTTTCTGGCAGCCCAGGGACAGTATCCTCTCCCCGCACACTTCAGTATTCAAACGCCCCGGCTGGGGAGGAAGCGCCATGAGCAGGACAAGCCACAGCGAGCCCATGGGCTTTGTGCTGGGCTGCACCAGCCCTCCCACAGCTCCGGAAACCGGCCAGTGGGCTGGGAACCAGCCCTTGCTGGGGCTGGAACAGGGAGACCCACCCTGCAAACCAGCTGGCAGCAAACCTGGGCCTTTTCACTGTGCTTAATGGGCAAGGCAGCAGCTCCTGCCTGTAAGGAAGAGTTGTTTCCCCAGCAGCTCCTTCCTCAAAGCGGCAGCAGGTCTCCCCAGGAGCTGCAAAACACCCTGCTGCCACGAAGGATCCTTTGAATGGACTGGAAGGAGTACAGAGCCACTGCCTGCGTGCAGTTACTGCACTAGAAACCAGGCTTTGCCTTCAGTGCTCATGAGTTCTTACAGGGTTGCCTGAGACTTGCGACGTTTCTGCATCGACCACAACGTCGCCCATCAACACCATGACTCCCATCTCTGTGCTCACAGGAGCCCCGGCACGGCCCGTGCTCAAGCCTGTGGTGTCCATGCTCCTCTGGCAAGGCAGCACTGAGCTAAAGACAGCACAAGCAGCCACCAGAACCTGCCCGGGGCCCTCCGGCACAGCCAGGCTGCTGCAGACAAGCTGGGGCACTCACTGCCACAACTGCCAGGGCTCTGGGCAAGTGGGGAACAGCACCACTGATCCTCTGGGATGAGGACACTTCAGTCCCCGCATCTCCGTGGAGCACCAAGGGAGGCCCAGGGGCCAGCTGCAGGGCAGAGCTCGCCCCCAGCCCCTCTCACCTGCTGCAGGTCTGCGAAGGGGACGGGGTCACTGGCGAGCACTTGGTGCGGTTGGTTGGTCAGAGACGGCAGCAGCGGGAGCTTCTTCCAGTGCGTTAGGTTGTTGCTCAGCATGGCCAGGCGCGTGCTGCGGAGGGGAGAGCGGCGAGGGTTGGCACCAGCACCGGGGAGGAGCATGCCAGCCCACCCCAGGGAGCAACGGGACGCAGGGAGACCCAGGCTCGGCAGAAGACGGGTGCTGCACCTCCAGGCACCGGCACCACCAAGGGGGATCCGGGCAAAGCCACGCTGCACCGCTCCCAGCATCCACCCCTCTTCGCTCCCCAAGGCAGGAGGATGAGGGAGCTTCCAACTCTCCAACACAGGCGCCTTTCAAGTGGCAGCAATCGCATCCAGCCACCCGCCGTCTGCCCTGAGTGCTGGCGGGGGGGGGAAACACAGGAGCCCTTTGTGCACGGCCGACCTCGCCGAGCCTGTAGCTGGGACAAGGACTCTGCCACTGGCACTGCCACAGGCCTCACCCAGCAGTGCCAGGAGGGCGGAGGAGAGGAGCGGAGCTGAGCACGACCTCCCTAGATGCAGGGAGCCCTGCTCCATGCTGAGTTGACTCTCCCAAAGGCAAAACCCCAAGGCCCTGCCCAGGGACGCGGCTTTGAGGGGGTGCAAGTGTCAGGGAGCCGGGCAGGTCCCACCTGTACTGCCTGGCTCTGTCCATGTACTCGTGCTGCTCCATGCCCTGGGAATCTGCTGCCGACACATCGATGATGTTGCTGTGGAGACACAAAACAGCAGGTCCTGCTGCGGGCTCATTGCTCTCCCTGAGCCCTCTCCCCCTCTCAGGCAGACCCAGCACCCTCCAACGAGGCCGGCCAGGACTTCAGCACCCTCCAGCAACCCAAAATTAACAGCTCGGGGCTGTTACAAGGCCAAACTTGCAGCATGGATGCAGCCAGCTGGACACGAGCGTGCCAGGCTGGACAGCTGCTTGCTGGGACGGAAGTGCCAAGGACCGTTTGCATGCAACTTCCCCAGGGCAGATGCAGATGGAGGGACAGAGGCTGCGCAGAGAGCCGGGGGCTTTGGCCTGCAGCCTCCTGCAGCGCGGGCTGGCCCATACCCTGGGGACCTGGGCACGCAGCCACTCAGGGAAGGAGGCTCCGTCGTGCCGCAAGGGCTGTGAGGATTAAACGCTTGGCAGACATCCCGAGAGCCCCGGTACCGGGCCCCGGGCTCAGAGAGGAGCTGGGCACTCGCCCAGGTCCATGCCACAGCCCAGCCACGTGCCCCCTGCCTCCCCCCGCAAGCAGAGTGGTGCTCGGGGCTGCTCTGACAACACGTGTGGGACACGCACCGGTTGCCACCAGCCCCTCCATGCCAGGCAGGGGAGCAGCAGGGCCCACGAGCAACCCAAAGCTCCCCCCAGCCAGTCTGGGCAAGCCCCCACCCCACATTGCTCCTGCACGTACAGGGGGCAGCCTCCCCAGGGAGGACAGAGCCTCCCCGGAAGGGGACACAGTGCTGGTGCCCCCCAGTCCCCCTCTCCGCCTCCCCAAGGACTCACTTGCTCGCCCCAATTTGGAGCAGGGGAGGTCCTCAGCCCCTGCCCCTATTCCCAGCCCAGCAGCCAAGGGGTTATCTCACACCTGCGGTCTTGTCTCTGTGTCCCCATGGGGCTCAAACCAGAGGGAGGGGGCTGACCACAGGCAGCCCACCCCCAACGCAGGCTGCCAGAGGGACGAGGGGGGCACTGCCCCAGCTCCCCCCTTCCCCTTGGCACCCACAGCCTGGCAGACCCCCGGTGAGGCTGCCACGACATGTCCGACAGCACGCCATGTCCTGCAGTCATTGCCGGTCCCCCAGATGCCCTGCCCACCCCGCTGCGGCACCGAGGCGGTTATGGCACGAGGCTTACATGGCTGTTTTGGCAAGGATGGAGGACAGCATGGCCTGCTCGTCGGTGCGTGCCGATGGGAGGTTGTGGTAGCTCTGCTCCGCTCCGTTCAGCACCTTGTTGGGAGGGCTGGCTGTCGGCTCCAGCAGCCGCTTTGTCTCTTCTTCCTGGGGGGAAAGGCAAGAGGTGGATCAGTCCCGACTCCACTGTGCCAGCAGCTTTTGCCCCATGGGAGTCTCACCCTCTACATACCAGGTGCTGCTGGGAGGGCTCCCCGCACTTCCCAGTGTAACCCTGGCACAGCCAAGGCAGCGGCTGGGCTCCTCTTCCCCAATTCCTTTGCTTTTTCACATTCAAAGCCCCCACCACCACAAAGGGAGCAAGCACAGCTGAAATCAGGCAGCGTGTGGCAGCACGTCTGGAGCAGCTAACCCTGCAGGCAGGAGCCCACAGCCCTGCCTGCTCCCACAGGCAAGCCGACGCAGCCAGCACCCCACGGCCAGGCAGCAGGTGTCACCGCAGAGGATCCCAACCTGCCCAAGACCTGGCAGCTAATGAGGAGGCACCCATTGCATCCTGAACCTGCCTACACAGAACCTACCACGGCCTCACCCACCGACTGGGGGCCGGAGAGATCCCTGCCAGCCTTTCGCATCCACACCAGCACAGCACGGGGTTCATTTGGGCCAGGTGAACCCCGCCCTAGCCACAGCCCAGGGGGTGCAGAGCCCCCAGCCGTGGCTCAGGCCTTAATCCTCCAGCTCGGTGACACAGGGGCTAGAAGAGCCTGGCAGGAGCCAACAGGCACAAGCACCCCGGCGGAGTGGGACACACAGCCTGTGACCTAGGAGCGCAGTCACTCCTCCGCACTCCCCATCGGTGACATCTTCGGCTCCTCCCCGGCCAGCAGCTCGCCTCTCCTTTCCTTCCCTTCCCCACAGCACCCATGGAAGCACCACGACTCAGCCGAGCTCCCTGGCAGGGTGCAAGCAGGGGCTGCCCGCACTGCAGCTGCCGATTAAATTTCCGTGGGACAGGTGACAGCCCTGATTTTGCACCGCCACCCCTCCCCAACCCCCACGAGCTGAAGCTGCTCAGCTAGACAGCTAGAGGCAACAGCGGGGACGGTCACACTGTCCCAAGAAGGAAAACCTGGCACCGCTCCCGCCGGCCATGACCGTCTGGAGCCCTGGGCTTACACCTGCACCGGGACAGGGTCCACAGAGCTGTGGGGTGCTGGGGGGGGGTGGGGGGGTGGTGTCTTCCACAATCCACCAAGCCCCCTCCTCCTCCCACGCAGCACCAGGGAGGCTACGCGCAGTCGGCAGCACCGGCAGAAACGCAAGGCCAAAAAACCCCCACCAAAAACCCCCAGACATTAAGGTGATGAGGGGCAGGAGCAGCTCTCGGGGGCTGTTGGAGGACAGAAGCCGGGCCCGGCTCTGCGGGAATAAAGACACCGGGAGAGGGGCCACGCCGGTGAGGGGGGGAGCCGGGCAGGGAGGCGGAGGCACGGCGGCTGTCACGCTGCAGCCGGCATTCCACAAGCCAGCGCCGGTTCCCGGGAAGGGGACGAGGTCCCCAGGAGTTGCCCGCAGCCCCCCGACCCATAACCGGAGG